CCGAAAGATAAAAAATGTTTTCCTGAATTTATTAGGATTAGTGTCACGCTTAGTGAATAAATGTAAATTTTTCAGTTTCAATTTAGAAACGTCAAACAGGAGGTTTACACAAATAAATCGAACTAGTATAAGCAATATCTAGTATTAATTCAAGATAATATTCCCGTAAGAGAAACTAGTAGTGGTCTTGAATTATTCATATGAACATTATTCCAAGATAAATTTTTAAACCGTAATGCCCTTGTTCGAAGCGGGCAAATGGTAGACTATTTATTACCAGCAAAATGGTATCTTAAACAAATGGAATCTTAAATTTTTATTTTGAGTTTCTATTATTAACAATAGGGATTTGTAAAACAGGGATTAATAAATATTCCACCACGAGAATATCCGCTAAATTTATAACGCAGTCAAAACAGTGAAAATAACAGTCGAGCTTAATTAAAATACGTAATAAAGGTGATATATTTAAATAACTCTGAAATTCAGGTAGATTAAGGCCCTGTTTCCGAGACTGCGCATAAAATGAGTCGAATCTGGGTGCTCATTAAAAAGGGATTTTCTCACTTGACGTGGAGTGTAATTCTCTGCACGTTCGACTACTGAAACAACATAACTTTGTTGACCCCAGATATAAATTAGTGGCTTAGTTTTATACTTGCCAAATTAAGATTATTATTTGGTAAAAATATCATTCACTTTAAATCTTGATTACAGTAAATATGCACTTACAAATTGTACGCCTCAACATTATGAGAAATGCTTACAAAAGACATAAAGATGTTTATCCACTGCAACAAATTTGTAGAGATAACTTGACTTAATTAATGAGAAGAATTTTTGTATGCGAAACACAGAGTGTGTATTTTGTCCAGACAACAGATAAGCAATAAAATAGTGTTGAAATTCAGAAGAAATATGAAAGAGATTAAATCAATCAATACTCCCTTTAGAGAATTCATGACCCTTCAAATTTTTCGGGGTACATTTATTTCCGTTCGAAATATTTAATCTTCAATAAAAAAACTACAAGTGCGACGGCAATTTCTTCCTTGTTTATTGCGAAATTATTTCAACTTTGCTCTAGTTTCATTATATTAAGTAATCAAAACAGTATGACATGATAATAACTTATTTCTCCAGAAAATTTCAAAGTTATGCGATTTAACTTTGTGTTTGTGTTTCTTTAATTGTACGAATTTGTTAAGATGGAGTTGAGTCGAGCGTGGAATGTGTATTTCGGTGGAGCAGAACACGAAGTTGTGTGCGAGTCTCGGTCACAAAGTGGCAGCGACAAGATTCCGATCTAAATGTTCCACATTATCATACAGCTGCTATAAAATACAGACTCTGTAAGATGTGATTCACACAATGGAGCCCAAAGGCGTCGGTCCTTCATCATAAACCCTTCTATTGGCTAATTAGGCAACTTTTTCGATACTTGTTTAGTTCGTAAAAAAGTACTAAACTCTATCTTGATCTATGGGAAAAAGATACGACTGGGAGAGCGGCTGATATCAATCAATTACCCTGACGTTAATAACTGAATTATAATTTAAAAGCAGCCATCTTGGTATAGAGCAAGATGGCGAAGCCACGCGAATTGTCTATTACCCCAGCTGTTTCGGCATTTTAAATCAGATTTTTGGTTGAATAAATAGCGTGATATCTGTCTAAAACGATTGACAATAATTGTTTTAGCGTGTTGTAGAGTCGGTCTTTGATCCACCCTATGCTTGTTTTGCATCTTAATTTAATGAGATGCAAATGAAAAAAACAATTTCCTTTGTACATAGGTACCCAAACTAAATATTTTAAACAGTGTGATCTATTTAATACGCCCATTTCTTCAATGGAATTTTATTGACCAAGTGGTGATGGTATCTACCGCCCACGATTGTTATAAAGCAGCTGGTTAGAAAGCCGAGGGCTACTTTACATGAAAGTATTATGTGAACTTCTTTGGCGTGAAGATTGGAGTTCTAGTGTTGCTCCTCATTCGAGTCAAGATGAATGTTGCGCCTGTGTTACGCAGCAAACCCTATTATATTATTACTGGATGGTCATTTATAACCGGTGATACACGCAGCGATAGTTTAAACAAAGGTGCATTTGCAATGGAATGAAAATATTAGCATACAGTTTTAGATGACAGTCGGATGATATAGCGAAGTGAAACTCGTTATGTTAATATGCGGCTGTTGCTGTGTTCAGACCAGGTATACGGTTATGACCGCCGGTCCTGGGAGGCACTGTTTACGGTTATTTATGCGATATTCGGATAGAGATTATCTGCTATTACCATCTCTCTGGACATATACCGGATAAAAAGGACATACACCCACGGAAGATTAAAGAAAAATATGCGAAGGAAAAACTTGTTCCAAGAGACATTGCTCACTTCTCAGCTATTATACTTAGGTGAACTGTTGTTGCACATATGGTCAGGAATACACAAAATGGTACTTTCGTGCAACTTAACAGCTGGTGTAACTTTGCAGACAGCAACAAATATATTACAAAATCTTTCTTTAACAGTTCTCATTTATTGTTGCACATAAAATTCCAAAATTAGTCTATTTTGGACTCTGTTGCTGCTTGCTGGTAAACTATGAAGAACTTTTATGACAGCTTAAATGAAATGATAGTTAACTATACAAGATGCACCAGAACTCGCGCCCCAAAGAAAGGTAAGATACTAGAAACATGAAAAAAATGTTAAAAAAATCGAAGTTATGAGAGTTTCAATTTTGCATTTTGACTATTTATTTCTGTTGGAAAAACAATTTTCCAAGTTTTTTCTGCTACAAGCTATTAGAAGAGGAAACAAGGTAAATTGTAACTCTGTTTAATGTTATTCGTGGTTTTTATTGCTAAAATTTTTGTATTTTTACTAAATAATTATAAAAAACATATAATTATCATTAAATAAAAAAAATTTCAAATGTCAAAAATTTTTTGACGGACAGAATTTTTGAAACATTTTTTCCTTGTTCCTGGTACCTTATCTTACGTGAAATTTTTCTTTGGGACGCGAGTTCTGACACACCCTGTGTGTATTTATTTAACTTGAACACCATAAAAAAGTGGTAAGTCCATAGTTAATGCATAAAAAACAAGGCATTATTAAAAAAAATGTATATGAGTAATATGGCTTTAAAGCTAAACTCATGTACCAAGAAGTTACTTAGATAAAAGTAAAAAGCTGTCTACAAATTCTAAATATTGTGCAAAACTTAAAAAAATGCATCAAAATCTGTTCTATGCATTTCCATAACAATTTTAAACCACATGAACCTCATAAAAAGTGTACAAGCACAACTAAGTGACCTTTCACCTACATGTACTCAATTTTTTAAAAAGGAAGTGTTCCAGGAGATAATGATTAATTGATTAATATGCCTCAAAAGACTACAATAATTTTGAAAGTTGATGAATTTTTTCGACTTTTGTTATTTTGACGAAAGTTTTGAATTCTTTCTGATCTTTTAGTGTAAAACTTAATAAAGAAAATATGGCTCTTCTTGTTTGATGATATAATAGCATTCACATAATAACAATTATAATAATCATAATAATTATTAAAAATTTAAATTTCTGAATGCATAGACAACCAGTTTTACTAAAATGCTGATTAAACATATTCCTTGTCATTTGAATTAATTAAAATTTGCTACTGTGGAATTAATTGGTTATCAGATGTTGCTGTCATCTACTTCCTTCTTAAACCAAAATAGACTATAGGTACTGTTTTCCACTTTGTCGTAATATGAATTAAAAATGATATAGTTATTAAAAGTGCTTTCAATAAATTTTAAGCTTCTAAAAACCTAAATAGACCTGTTTTTCATTAACACAACTGATGTATTAAAACGAAAAATCATGTTGAGTAGTAAAAATCATTTAATCCAAAGATATGCCAATTAAAACTGTTTTTTAAAAAAGGTCATTCTTTTACAGTAACATAAGTATTAAATTCTTGATTATAAATGTTTGCTTAAAATTGATTCAGAAATATGTGCAATTTTGTATAGAATGTATTGTAAAACAAAAACTTAACTTTACTCGCGCAAGATTGAAACAAAAGTAATTTTAACTTTTTAATTGGGAGCATAAGGTAGGTAAAGTGGAGTCGAATTCACTTATTCTCAGCTTAAAGCACCTCTCTGAGTTGTCTTTTTTCAATTTAAATATAGATCGTTTAAAGCATGTGTACAAAAAACACGTTTCTTTAATGCATTTGACATTTTCTACTTTATTACGAAACCGTCTATTCTATGACAAACAAATCAAGTTTGATACAATTTGAATAATACATATTTGTTAACACTTTATGATAAAATTCTGATAATGAAAGGTACTTTGTTCGGTTCATTGCATTTGATTTAATGGAATTTGTTAAATCTAGTGCAACGCATAAAGCTACCTACAGTTAAAGAGAACAATTTTAAAATAAAAATATTCGGGAAAACCACAAATAATGAAGGAAATGCAATCAGACGTCTTAAATAAACCACATATAAGAGTTACATCTATTTTGGGGTTTTAATTTAAATCCGACGGGAAAACTTTATAAAACACTGATAATTTTAATGTAACACGTGTCAAATTATTGTTTATTTACTAGCAGTCGCACGTCTGGTATATTTTGAAAAGACGTAAATTAGATTTTAGTTATGTCATAAATTTTTGTTTATTTTTTAGCAATATTTTAGTCGTAAAGTAGTAGTCAGTAATTTTTCTTGGATTATGTTTATGTTAAAATTACATCACAAGTGTTTGTTATTGTTTATTATACTTTAGGTCCATTATGTTAGCACTTACACTTCATTAAACATCGATATCCACTCTAGGTTAAGTGGGAGCATGTGTGGGTGCATATGATACATACACTTAAGAGCAACAAGGATCAGATAGATAGTATAAATGGGATTATTTTCCATTTTTATTCACAACTTGACGAAAATAATGCCATTTCATCCAAATGAAAATCTGCTAACCTGGAAGTAGACTTGTCCTTTGTCCACCCATCCAACGACCACGTCAGCCCCTGTCATCCGGCCATCTTTTGAAAAGCCAAACCCAACATATCCCAGAGTCCTCACTTGCAATTCAAACGTGATGTCTTGAGGACTCGGTCCTAACGACCAAAGAAGTCGATAGTCTGGACTAAGCATCGCAGAGTGTGACCATCTTGCAGCTTTTCCGTATTCCACTACACACAACACACTTAACACTTGAACTAATTTACGAACCATTGTTAACAGTTGCACAGGGCCTTCATCTGAAACAAAAATAATTTTAAACAACGTTCATCAGAAATGCAGTTTCCAGAATATGACTTTAAAGTTTTCAGAAATAAATCAAGGCATATCGCAAATTATATTACTATTCTGACTGGTAAATTGTACCACAAATCACAATTTATCGCATTTATTTTCTCTCTTCTTGCTAACAGTAACCGCAAAGCTCTAAATAATCCAGATTCCTTTATTCCTCTTCTTTAAATCAGTAAATTGTGTAATAAAATACAAGCGCAATTTCCATTTCACTGCCGTGTCTCATGAACAGCATTTGTTATAAAGTAATTTCTGAAAAAATCAGCTTTTGGTGGTTTAGAAAAAGTAGAAGCCTATATGAAACAATAACTTGAGTTGTTTTCATTTTATTAAAAAAAATAATTTCTTCGACGAAGCATGAAACTAATCGTCAAGAGGTACACCATATAAGTACCTACGTAATCACAAAAAGAACAATGCACGAATTCAATTGTTCGTCACAACAAAAGCGGAGAAAAGGGTGCTTGCTTTTAATATTATTGAGAAGACCGTCATTATTAAACGGTTTTGCTAACGTTACAGTGACTGTGAAATAGCACCTTTCAGACTTATCCATTATGTTGATAGAATTATTTACCGCTTCAGGACGAATTAATAAGAGTGAAGATTTTTTTCTAAAGCATAGAATTTTTCCAGCATACTATTGATTAGTTCCATGTTATTGGTTAGTCGTAACTCAACGTAATAGGTAGGCGGAGACAATTAAAATGATTTTCGGCCTGATGTGACCATGATTACCTTGCAAAAATGGTCCAGTTAACAACAAATCCGACTTTTATTAAATCAAGCCAAGTCCCACTTTCTATGCAATTTTACGAAACAACAATCGCAGTTTTTTTGTTCATAAAAAATCTCCAAAATTTCGAAATTTCTAATTTTTCTAATAAGATGTTCCACCATATAACAACTGTCAAAATTTAAACTATAAAACTTGTGTTATCTTCAAAATTATTTCCAACACTAGTATTGGATCAGAAATTTTACTAAATTGTTATACAAAAATTTGTCAAAATTGACAAAATACCAAGATAAGTGTATTTTATGTACTTATAAAATATGATGTGATTGACGACGTATTTTATGGAAGAAGTAAGCTTAAATGCAGCATAAAAACAGTAGGTATAAGATATTAGCAGTGTTGCCAGCTCAAAACAATTAAATTCACCAGATTTGAGATGAAAATTTACCCGATTTACTCCTATTTTCACCAGATTATAAGATTATCTGATTTAAATTTTTTTAATGCTGTCGAAGATTCACGTTTTTTACATAAATCTCGCAAATCTGTCTGAAAACGTACTTAATCGCTCAAAAAATTCAAAAATAAGTAACACTATTTCATTTAATCTAATTCTATAATTTTTTGGGTAGTTTTTAATTAAATTTTGCGAAATACTGAGTGACAAAAAATCTATTGGCAACACTGAATTATTGGTAATCCTTCTAAATTTGTTATATCAGAATGTTTCAGGTGACGGCTAAATTAGCAATCCCCGTCACAAATGAATGACAATTTGAAAGTCAAAGTTGCCCGTATTAAATTTTTTGGCACCAAATCATTTGCAGTCACCCGATATTTACGTTTTTACTTAAAAAACATGCTAAAACAGTTGACAAAGGCAAAAATAATGACTTAATTTGATATTTTGTTGGTTTGTTTTAGCAAAATCTTGCAATTAACGGCATTTTCGACTATATTTTGTATTTTTCGTCCTATTTTTTAACAAAATTTCACTTAAAGAGAGCTAGACCGAGTGAAACAAACGAAATAACATCAATTTAGATTTATTTTCGTTGTGTTTAAGCATGTTTTGACAATATCTTGCAAAATAAATGAGACTCTGGTTCAAAAACGAACTAAATCGAGCGAGACAAGCTAACATGATATCAACTTCAATCTAATTTAGTAATTTCTCAGTCAGTTTTAGCAAAAATTGAATGTATTTTAAAAACGTGCTAAAAATGCAAAAATAACATTAGTTTTGGGCTAATTTAATAAATTTTCGGTTTGTTTTTAACGACATTTTGCAAAATAGTTCTGTTTCTGGCTAAAAACATACTAAAACTAAAAAGTTAATTTTACATTTTACATTTGGGCAAATACTCGATTTAAAAAAAATATTTCTAAATACATTAATTTTCTGCTAGAACTACAGTCACGTTTCTAAAAAAAATAATCAGAAATTAGAATTTTTACAAAAGTTTTCACCAAATCATTAAACTAGTATAAAAAATCACCAGATCTGGTAACACTGAATATTGTATTAGGAAAAAAAATAATAACTGCACAGTAAAAAAATTGTTTCATAGAAAAATATACGCTTAATACACAAAATGATAAATGCTCAGTAAAATGATTGCTCAATAAAATAATAAATGTCCAGTAATACAATAATAAATACCAATAATAAATAATATTCTTGCGTAGGGACCAAGACCGAAAATAAAAATGTACGTTATTTATGTTATTTTACTAATTTTGATCAAAGTTATTGAACGTTCGTTATTTTTACTGCGCAAATTGGAGTTGGATATTGTAAACCCATACACTTTTTTTTCTTTTATAGTGAACAAATCACAAATTCATTATTAAAGAAATACATAGACAAGAATTAATAAGATAAAAAATTGTTGACTAATGTTATCAAAAAACGATAAATGCACTATAAATATTTAAATTTTCCTAATAATTTCCACAGCGCTGATCCACTTGAGAATCTTGGAATATTGATAAAAGCGCGCCTTGTTTGCTTTGTTAGCTAACCAATATTTATATTGATTAGAAAGTAAAACTTGGGTAGAATGTGGAAAGCTTACCTATGCTTTTTATTGCCTTAACTCCAAGTTTACCTAATGATTAGCTCCCATTAAACGTTTTAATTTCTGGCTGCGGCAATAACACAAAATGAAATTTCTACTGCACATTTTTAAAACTTTAAGTGAGTGAGTGACTGGAGGCAATAATAATTATTATTATTTTATGACAATACAAATAGACGTGAAAGTAAATAATATTTGTAACAACTGAGAGAAACCTTACTTATTACGCATTTAGTATCTAATTAAATTTAAAGAATAATACAATTATCCATTAAGCTATAAGGTCCTGAATAATAGAGTTTACCTACTCTTGTAGTAGCTAAATCTGCTTAAAGCTAACAATTTTTGCTCTTCATAATTACACATTTTATTAATTAAATGCATATAAGTGTCTGGAGGTTCGAAATTAGAGAACAGTTCAACGAGCTGAAGATATGTGGTGTCTCGTACTGCTGCTGTCACCAGCCTTTATTAACAATAGACACTTGAAGCTGGCAGCGTCTGAGACATTACAGAAAGAGGATTATTTCGAGTTTAGACACAGTTATGTTCTACACAACTCCACTCCTTATCCACTCGACACCAGCCGACGCACCGTTTGTGCAACACCAAATTAAATTTATTATTAAGCAAGCCTATTATGTGCGAGTTTGCTTCATCATACAGTTAACTTCAAGAATGAATTCCTCAACAAACAGAAGCTATTTTCCACAACCATAATTTTTCAGGAATTTGAAGCGTAGTTTCAGAAGAAATAGTAGTTTTAACGAAACCGCGTTTATAGTATAGGGTTTGTAGGTGAGCACGCAATATTGCACTTAATTACACACCATGTCGTGTATATGCAGTCTTCTTATTTCCGTCTAATTGCATGTCGATTTGAAAGATATTCAATGAAACCGCTTGGAGGTGAATGGCAATTGTGCGTTTTCATCTAAATAAAACGACAATAAATTGCACTATTTAATTATATCTGCGATAAACTTTGGACACGAACTAAACTAAATATACGTGGGGCAAAAATCAAAATAGTAAATTAGCCGTAATCAACACGACTAAACGACTTTTTTAACTTTTAATTACCCTGTTGTGGCCGTTGCACTTACGCCCACGCCACAAAAGATAATTTTTAAAGTTGTAATGACCGCCACTTAATTTTTTAATGAAAAATATTCGAATGTTTAAATTTTAATAAGTTTAGGTTTAAGATTAACGACTTTTCGCCCAAAGCAATTTAAACGAGAACCGAATCAATTATTTATGTACGACTCCAAAAAACATTACTGAGTTTGCAACGTTTCGATGAGTTAGGATACATTAGTATGATCCAGGTGGGGCTCATATTTGACACGGGTTTAAGTAATAGCCTTAATGTGAGTAGTGACTAAGCCGGCCTCTCGGCGTATCATTTTGATGGCTCAGCAATAGGTTGATGAAAGCAGTTGATGGTTCTTTAGAATTTGCTCGGTTAAAAGAAAGTGTAAAAATCAATTGATATAAACCCGACGTTTTAATGCTTGCAGCTGATGAACGATTCGAATATTGCGTCTGACGTTTCTCACGATTGATGGACGTTCGCTTTTAATATAATATGGAGAGTTTGCAATTATTGAAAGAAGTTTAATTGTCAATCAAGTATTAAGTCCTTAGTTAAAACGCATTGTTAATAGTGCACGATGTTTGGAACCGCTCCGTTTAATAGATAATCGATCGCTTCAATTGGATCAATTAAGGCCTATCAACTTCAGACAGCACTGATAGGAAACTCACCAACTCGAAAGAAGAAAATCATTAATTATTATTTACTGTAAATTCTATTTCGCTCTTAATTACTCAAGAGTTCAACAACTCATGTAATCAGATACATACATATATGACTTTAACGATGACCTCGGAATCATAAAGTACAGTTAAAAACGAGATTGAAACGTAGCATTCCTGATGCTGTTGAATGTTGATGCAATTATCGAGTTAACAGCTGACACAATCACGTTTAATTGAAATTCATTAACGATTCTATAAAGTTGTTAATTTGGTTATTGTACGGTTAACAATGCGGTCCCTAAGCATTAAAGATTTTATATAAATGAGCTTCCAAGAAAATAAAAATCAATTTACCAAATAATCTAAATATAAGTCTGAGTTAGGCAAATCTGGCAAATTCAACTTTACAAGAGCCAATTTTAGTATATTAAAAAAAAACTAAGTCAACAAAATGAGCCCAAAACTGGAGCGTTGAAGCAGCTTGAACAGTTTTAAAATTTTTCCCCCAAACTAAAAAAATAAACTTGAAACTTTATAGTTTGACGGAAAATTCTGCACGGTTTTATTTATAAATTATGTACGTAAATGCCAAATATGCATCGATATGCAAAATTTTGAACAATAAAAAGTCAAACGTTTTTTGCTTAAAGTATTTATTTTTTGAAAAAACTAATTGATGAATTATAAAGTTCTATAAAAATGTGATGTTTTATCAAAAATTAAATTTTTCGAAATTTTTATTATTTTGTTTTTGAGTTTTACAAAAATATTATTTTTTTAATGGCAACCCACCAAAAAAAATTTTTCTTCATGAAGGTCATGATCTAAGGGATTACAACTATCTACTTTGTATTAAATTATTTTTTACATATATAGCAATTTAGACAACAAAAATCGAATAACTCAAAAACAAAACAAAATTCTGTTCTTAAAATAAGATCATTTTTATATTACTTAGTTTATATTAATTATTATTTATTGGAAACAAATGATTTAAAAAAAAACCGCTTGGTTCAATACAATTTAAAAGGGAAACAGTCCAGCAGAGTACTAATTTTTTGAGTTTGGCTTACGAATTACCGGTTGTTTTCTCTTTAAAATATGTCACCATATATCATTTTTCATAAACTGTTCAATTTTTAACTTGAACTGAAATTTTTAATCGGAAATTAGTGATTTGAAGAAAATATGCACAAATATGCAATATTTCCTAAAATATGCACCAAGTTGCCAAAATATGCATTTTTTATTTGGCTTATTTTAATTAAAAAACATTAGATATGCATAGAAAACTTACAATTTTGTTGATATACGAGTACCTCTTAATAACAAATATGCATTTTAATATTGTGTCTGACAGTTTATTTAGTCTTCATTATCTGTAAAAAAATTAAATTAAAAATTTAGCTGTCAACGCACTGGAACACTTTTCAATTAACAAAAAAGACATTTTAGGCTTCCAATTAAGTTTTTTCGACAGCTACAACGTATATTGAGCGTTATCCTAAAGACTGCTTTCTCGAAAATTAAAAATTGACTACCAATCGATTAAATATTCATAAATTTTATTCCCCGTCAAAACGTAGGTTTAAATAAAATATCCAAGTGCAGTGTCGCGCATCATTTGTGGGAAAAAAAATTAATAAAAAAGATTTGCTTTTAGCGGAGAGGTTGTAATTAAAATCAAACTGTAAAATTTCAACGTCTCTGTTCTGTCTCAATGCGGATTTAGTTTTTAGGATTTTAATTAAGCCATTGCATTGACTCGTAACGGATTTTCCAGATTTGTAATTTTGATTGTTTCGCTTCTGGAATTGGAAAAAAATGGGTTTAAGTCTCGACCCTGGTTGCAGGTACACATATGTGTAATACAATTCCTGACATTAATTACGTGTAGCAAAACAAAAGTTCAAAACCTTCGAAGTGAAAAACGTTCCTTTCAATATGAATAACAGCCGTGAAATGAGTAAGTTTTTTATATTGCTCTGGGGACCATTACGTCCCAGCGTTCTGGGATGCCAACAATAATGGGTAGGATGCTTTTCAATGTTGGACAGCACTTTGGTTCGAACGCTCGTTTGATAGATTAATTTTTAAGTCACAGGAAGACCTGAGATTCTGTTGTTATTGTAGGGCAGAGCGTGGGGAAGAGATAAGTAATTTTTAATTAAAAATCATCACCAACCCAGACTTTTAAGAAATTTCATAAATAAGTCTCGCAGTTTGCATTACTTATTAAAATTGCTAGTTGAAGTCGGAATCGTCGAGTGGAAATAGAAACGATTCGATTATGAAACAGGTTCCTGCGTTCTGTTGCGGACGAATGCCATTGAAACATCGTCAATTTCTTCGAGTGACTTTTAGTTTGGAGGCAATCCCACCGATTTAACTTTGCGTTAAAGTATCCCCCGACTAATTCAGCCTCGGTCTGACTTATTGGATTGGAATCGCCGTACTTTTGAAATAACGGCGGATTCGAGCGTGTCGTTTTGTCTCAAACCATTGCTTCTAAATTGCCCAGATACCAGCTAAGTTATAACAAGGGATACACTTCATAAAATGCATTAACTGGGAGGTTTGCGCCAACTTTTCAGAGCGTTTATTCGAGACTTGATGAACCATAATGTATACTTTCAGCGTCGACAAATGAGAAATTACAAAGCACCAAATACTCATAAAATAATTACCAACTGTCTGAATAGAATTTTGAAATTAACCAAGTGGTCCCAGAAGGGGGCTACAAAAGGTTTTGGCTTGAAAGCAGCGCTTCCGTTCTTCCAGACACTTCTGTTTTGTAGCACTGCACTTGACTCAGCCATAAATATTAAGGCACACGGACTCGGTGGACCCGGCTTTCGCCAGAATACTGCCAATTTAAATTGTAATTCTCATTTTCTCTTCATTTGGAGAAAATATATGCGCCGGAGTGTCGCACAAATTAAAAATTTTAGCGATGACTGCTAAAAATGTGGCTATATTCGGTGAAAATTATCGTTTCAACTTTATACACATATTTTTCAATAACACCCAATTTATTTTACTGAAAAATTCACTCAACAAATGTGGTTCCAGCTTTTCAAATCCATTAATTACGTAAAAACAAAAAATGCTTAATAGTTTAGTACAGAAAAAGTCTACTTGAAGTACATAACACAAGATAGAAATTTTTAATATTGAGATTCTTGATACCAAGGCATTTAAGAGAAATAATAATGCACAGAAAAATAATGAAATTTTATTTTTGTCTTGCAATTCAAATCAAAACAAGAAAAAGCCATCAAGAGAATTTTTCATGACTTAATGCGTTTGTTACCTTTAGCTGATTTAAATGCGTTGAAGCTAATATAAAATTTTGACGTTTTACTGTTTAATTCATTCGTTTAATATAATATGTATCTGCAAAATATATTAATTATATCACAGTTAATAAAGCAACACAAAGGAATATTGAATTTATATTTTGAAAATTGCATTTCATTTAATGTCTAGTAGTAAGTTGAATAAAATTGCATGAATTTGATTTGTATTTGAATATAAAACTAGTCATAATAAATATATTACAACCTAATTTTTTCGTTTACAGATATATAGATTTACAATTAATGTTTGTAATACAAACATCTTTTAAGCAGGAATTATCAACTGATTTTGCCAACTTATATAAACAGTAGAATGCCCTAGTATTTCACAACTATGTATTTAGTTATAACTCATTTAAAAATCAGTCAGTTTTGTTTAGATGTCAAGATATTATTGCGATATAGTTTTGGTTCTCCACTTTACCTTATCGTTTGTGTAAATATTTATATGCAAAATTTGCGCTAATACTAACTCATTACTCGGTCATTGAATAATACTCTGTTATCTTAAAACTTGTAGGAAAACACTCTTACAATTTATCTTAAACTATTTGAATTAGGTGTAATTAGGAATTTTTGACAAAGGCAGGAACTAAACTGCCGCTCAAAAGCTTAAGGATAACATAGTCTATTCCTAATATATTCTATATTTAAAATAAATAGAACGACGCCTTACGTAAAAACCGCAAGAAATAATCCAAATATTGCCTGAAAAGTCACAAAGAATGTTTCCGGAACACAAAGCGGTCACGATTTCCATACAACGGGGAAAAACACAAACAAACTCCGGGCAAAGCTCCCGAAACCCGAGAAACTTTCCAACTCAAACACGAACCATTGATTATTCACTTATCACGTAGCTTCATTAGCCCTCCGACGCATTTTTTACTTTGATAGAGTTAGGAATATGCACCCGGAATTGACGGAATAGTGAAACGAGCGATTCATACTCCCTCTACCACGGTTTGTTTCAGACTGCTGAAACGTATTCTCTGCCTAGTTCTGGTTCTGGTATAGCGGATGCGTTCGCTTTCCCCACCACATCAGCATGTCCTTTACCTGAACAGTTCCGAACTTGAATCTTATTGGTGGAGCGCCCGGTAATTATTCTTGAAGACCGGAAACTACCAAAACTGTCAAAGGGCGTCACAATTCTATGATTATTGCTTAGAAGCTTCGATCAAGTGACAAACAACGACCACCAGGTGCAAAGCTCAAGAATGAGACGAACTTGACTCTTTCTTGAACGATATTGGGAACATTTCTACTCTAAATCCCAAGAAATTGGTTCCCCATTCTTTAGAAACACATAATTGAAACAACCAAGCCAAGCTAAGATCTTCTAATCCATATCTAGGAGCCAAAGATGAAAAGATATTCAAAATTTTAATTTATTTGGAAATCTAAGTGAAAAGTCTTATAACTTCCAATCGAGCTTTTAACGCATTGCAAGGAAAGACTTTTGATATCCTATTGACGGTCCTTGCACTAAAATAAAAAGCTTTAGAACTATTGAAGCTTATCACAGAGATATTTGTTTCATTGTTACAAGTATCTAACTACTTCTCTAATCAACTTTTTAAACTAAGTGTATAGGTTAGGTACTGAATTGGTTAATAAAATATGTAATAATTTTTCCAATATCTACGATAATAAATGTTTGTTTAAATAAAAAAATTTCCCTTCTAAAATTCTGTAACAATCAACTTCACAACCTCAACACTCAACGATAGATAAAATAGTTTTTGTTTTTTTTTTTAAATCCTTCGCGATGAGGCACACTTTCTTTACGGATGCTTGTGTTCTTGTAAAAATTCTCTGTTTTTACAAAGAAATTTTTTTCAACATTTAAAATCCCCCATCTCGATGACTTTTCTTCTACAGTCTCATTTTTCAAAATAAGTACAAAAAATTAAACCAGACAATAAGAAAATATTGTAGGTATACCTACGATTCATGATTCTTTTGTCAAACTGGTAAAATTATATTTTTTATTTAAAGTAAATTAATCATGTAAAAAAAGTAGTGAAGACACTAATCATTTTTATTAACTATGAATTATAAATAACGCGAAAGAGAAATTTAAAACTGAGCAGAGAACAAAAATATTTCACTATTCTCATAGATAAATTTACAATGAACCTGTTTCAAAATTCTAACTTTTCTACCCACCAATAAACCTCTTGACACTGATTTTCATGTTTTAATTTACAACCTCAATGTCATAAATAAAAATTTGCGGTTACTTGCTGCTTAGTAAGTATTCTGATGAGTTGCAGGTAAAGTTTTATGATAGCAATTTAACGGCAATGTGCCTTTTGTAGAAAAACCCTATATTATTAGTGGTTTAACTTTCACCAACTTCTGTTTGAAGAAATCACTGTTCTTAGAATATCCTATTCATTTTCGTCGACTATCATAAATCAGGCAAGCAAAATAGGTCAAGTATTGTTAAAAGTCCAAAAAAAGAACTACCAGTTAACCACATTTGGATAGCTCTTCAGTCATAACTTTTTTCTCCCTCATTTTTGAAATTATTGAATCGAGTGAAAATACAGATTTTAAATATTTGATGCGCACACGTGTATATTTTAAAATTCACTTTTATTTGAGAACGGCGCTATCATAACAAACCCATCTTCGTTCCAAAGTGAATACCTTTTGGGGATAATGTCCATTAATATTGACACTATTTTACCTGATATATTTATCTGGAGGTCCTTATCTTTGTCCTTTTCCAAAGTCGGTGTTTTAGTAGCGAGGAAAGTCGTCTGTTAGGTCTTAAAAGCTTTATATCAAATGTAGTGTCTGGAATTATTAGGTATTCAAGAAGATTCTTTTTAAATTATAGAATATTTACTTTATCATGAAACCATTATTTATATTTAAGTACCTGGAGCCTGGCGTTAGATATGCACGTTAATTATTAAAATAAAAACATTTTCTAAAGCCTTAATTTATTAATATTGTGTTTGGAGCACAGCACAGCAAACATCAACGATCTAAACCAACCCCAATTGTAGCATATTTTACAATTGATCGATTGATTTTTCCCCTAAATAAACACAGACGAAATTAATTAAAACTGCAATAAAACTTCGTAATGAGAGCATTGCATCCCGACGAAAATAAATCCGTCAGAACACAAAGAGACATCGTAAGAAGGACCCTTTTTAAATTAATAAATCGCATGCAAGACCCGAGGCGGCAATAACCCCGAATTTTATGTATTTGCGAACTAAGTCACATGATATATTGGATGCAATTACGAGTTCTATATTGTCTCATAAATCCTATAAAATCACCACTAAAAAACTTACTCATTATCGGGAAAGGTTCCTAAAATCGTAAAACGAACTGACCTTCATGTAGTTCCTGGCTAATCATCAAGCAAGACTTTCCCACAGTTTACATAATATAAAATGTTTAATTGCGTTCATACCGGTTTGTTTCTGGATCGAAACGACAACACTATGAATAATATGTCCAAGTTATTGAAGCTAGTTACTGGAATTAATGAAATCTATTTCCATAATTAGCCACCTTATAAGTGCGCAAATTCCTGCCGGAACTGGTTTCCGTAATAACGGCAATTAAGCGTTTTCATACACTGATTTGTGCTAAAAATGAGCTAAAATCATCAGTGTTTGGGAAATATTGCAAGGTAACAGTGTTTCCTCGAGTTGAATTGGTGGAAATCAGTTTTTAAATTGCACGGTGACGAGAAATCCTGTGGCTGCTCTTATTTCTTTGCAACAGTACAATATGCATGACTCGTTGACGGTGAGACATTTATTATGCACCAACCTCTCCTGTCTCGATTTTATCGAACGTAATGTCAGATTACAAGTACATTCAGAGGTCGAGGCTTTAATTTTTCAGGAATTTGCTGAAATTTTTTATGTTATTTAGTGTCAAATTGTGATTGATTTAGACATCAGCTGCGTTTTCCTCCGTGAAGCTGCTGAAGTGCTTTTGGAAGTTGTAAACCGACGGTGGTCTTCTGTCCTATTTTACTATTATTTATGGCCTGGCTCTGTGAAAACGCCCCGGAATGTTTATGATAATTCCGTTTCGGTGAGCGAGCATTTAATCTGAAAACTGACCGAGCCGACCAAAATTTTTGTTGCTTTTGTGCTATTGATGGATGCATTGTTGTTTTAGACATTTTATATTGGCTTCGTGTTGCGGTTTGAGGGACCGAGTTTTGTGGGATAAGGGTTATTGTCTACGCAGGGAGTAAATTGCTTTATGACGAAATTTTGTAATAAAAACATCAATTTGATTTATTTGGTGGACCAGTAGGTTGGTTAATCGTTGCGGCAAAATCCGAAATGAGGGTTGGAAATATTTTAGAATTAATTATTTTGGCTACAAATCAAATCGGAAATGGTTTTTACAATTTTCACTAAAAATTGATAACAAATAAATGGCTGAATTTGCAAAGAATGCTACGTTATTTTACCCATGAAATAAAACGATCTGTTGCAAAAAAGTAATTGAAATACTTGTAATAATCGATAATAATAGCTACCGGTAAACGATTAATCTTAAACACAATGAGCGAATTGTAATTCTTGATGGGAAATAAATCGATTGTGCTCTCCATAATGCCACTCTCCTCATCTCCATTTTAGTTTTTATGAAATTGGTGAAAATTTCAAAGTTTGTGTTTAAATCTATAACAGTGTAACCGGCATAAATTATTTCAGATTTTATCCGAAACTAATTGAAATTTTCTGCTAGCAGAATGGAAATGAGCGACGAGAGTATTTTCAAGGGTTTCAGGACCAAGAATAACGTAAATAATAAATTAGACGGAAGGGATTAATTTACATCTCAAGGAAATAAAAAAGTTACGAGGAATTTGCCTGTTTTGTTTTTTAAAGAACCAGGACAAAGGAATTTTGTTATTTATAGCGGGATGGCCTTTACATAGAGCATTTAAATAAATTCGTTTATTTTACAAAGAGTGATATACAATAAAAGTCAACTTTGTTAATTAAATTGACTTCTTAATTAATTATTCTAAAAGTGTTTTATTCATTTCCTTTACAAATATTTGTATATGTGTGAAATTATTTTTTGAATTTATATAATTTCATCCCTTAAAATTGCAAACTAGCGTACATGATCACATACTGAGTTACAGATGGTGCTTTGGTAAACCTCTCCGACCCAAACTCATGCACACCTGAATCAACATGCACGATCGAATGGATAAGCATTCGAATATTCACTACACCGTATACCACCACATTGGGATCAAACCAGCGACAAAATGTGATTGGGATCACACCCATACAGAGTATTTCACTTGGAAAACACATGATATTTACTTGAGGTCTGATGTGAAGCCACCCATGGAAATTATCAGGTAAAAACACAACTAGAGCAAAAAAAATGAAAAGCACAAATAGCATCGCATCAATATTTTCCTTATTTCAATTAAATATTTTTAAAAAGCTAGTCCTTTGGAATAACCGAATCTTTCAAAGGCCCGCTGGGTGAAATTAGCGTTTAAGTCGTTTAGTTGAGGAATTTTGCGCAAAGTTTTGAAAGTAATTCTAGATTCTAGTAGTTTAGGTGTCAGCACGTCTTTGATGAGAATTTTGTTGGATGCTACTCATGTGAACTTTGCCGAGGGTATGTGTTTATTTTTTGTGTTGTTGAACAATGGTACGGTTGTGCTTGACGACCGAAACCGCCTTTGACCGCCCCTTAAACCGAGGATCAGTTTACACGAAATATATCCAAGACATGCTTTGACAGCTTCAGGCACGTCCGTACAAACACGATACTTATTATTTGAGATCTATTGAAACAGCATCTGCTGGTAGATGATATGTGTGCAAACAATTTTTGCTCCATTCCACTTCAAACTCGCTCTTTTCAGTCTCTTCACCATTAAAATAATTGAATTTTAACATTCTCCAAAACGCATGTTTCAAAATTATTACGAAAAGAAGGTCTCTATTAGGTAAAAAATCTGGTGTGAACATCACACGACTTTCCTTATCCTACTTATTTCGAAAACATCCTTACGACAGTAATTTAGTGTTGGAAATCCGAGTAGCAAACCTAACTTTTGCGTTAGTATAGATCATAGTTTGAGTCTGAGGTGCAATTTTTTTTAGTTCGGCACCCATTATTATTTTTATTTTATCACATTTTTCTGTTTAATAAAGTATATTTCATGATTCTAAATAATTTTTATCCCTATGAATTCAACCGTATAATTTTGCGGCCGAACGGTGTGACCGATTTTTACCAATTGTTTCATGCTGCGTCCCCTTCCTACAAGTAATTTACATACCAAATTTCAAGTTTCTAGCTTTCATAGTTCTCGAGATATGCGGTTTACAGACACACACACATAAACACACAAGAGACACATACACGACCCAATGGCCCAAACCAACTTTTTTGGGGTCTTGAAGCTACAAAGTGGTTATAATGATTTTCATCTAGCCAGCTGTGAATTTTCCATGTAAAATAAAAAATGCCGCTTTACGAAAATAGGGGTACCTACTTGTTTTAACTCAAAATTAAAAAATCGCCGTTTACTAAGCGTCCCTTCGAAAATAGACTTCAATTATAAACTTGTTTTCTTCCAAAGTATACATTATTATCAATTATTATTAGAAATTACTTGAAACAATAAAAGTTTAGTTAACAACAATTTAGTATTAATTAATAAGTGACACTAATGACAGAACTAGAGCTTTCAAAATAGAGCGGCACAAATAAAGTTACATGCAAAAAAATTCCAAAGCTGGCTAGATGAAAATCATTTATAACCACTCTGTATAATTCGTTCAGAAATGTAAAAATATACATAGGTGAAATTTTTACTTAAATATGTGTTTATTCGTCGTTTCCAGCCAAAATAAGACTATTTGATTAATTTCCAATCGTTTTGACTAAATTTTAGGCCAGAAAACTCGGCAATTTTGCTCGATTTGAACATAGAAGGGTGTTTATTCGTCGTTTCTCATAAAAATCAGAAGATTTGATTAATTTCCAATTGATTTGGCTCACTTTTAAGCAGGAAATCAACCTAAATCAAAGTATTACAACAATATAATACCTTAAATAATAGTTTTCTTCCAAAATTAAATAAAAAAAAATTTACATCGGTATTTTTTACTCGACTTTCGACAACTTGTCTAATTTTAATAAATTGTTGTATTATTCATAAAGAATGAAACTTTTGAAGTATCTTTATTCCAGAGGTGTCAGCTTCGATACGGAGCTTCCGGTGGATAGTGAGCTTTGCATTATAAAACTCTTCCGTTCCTTGTTGAATTCTTTCACAGATTTCGAATCATTTTCTCAGAAGTGATTACATAATGGACCTTTTACACTAAAATGTTCACAATTCACAAACTTTTTGGTGACCTCAAACAAATTTATAAGTTTCTTTCATAGTTTTTCATTTTCCTCTCTTATCGCGGGTAAGTGGCGCCAAAGAAAGTTACAAATAAAGATGTAAATTCGTCAGGTAATGTAAAGTTGAATATCCACCTCTAAAACTTTTTAAATTTTTCTACCCTGTGATTTTTAATTTAGAATTTTAATATGGAAAGTTTCCGTCATTGTAGCGTTTCGCGTGTTGGAGGAAATTCAAATGTTCAAGTTTACTTTTTTCAATTGCCTCGAAGTGTTCAACGAATCAACACCACTAATTCCAGGGGTTTAAAATTTATTTTGTTAACCCTTTAAACAATACAAAAATTTTCATAAATATATCTAGACTAGAAAAAAGGCCAACAGATCCAGCTTAGTTCAGGTAGCCGACTATTGTGAAAGCTCTAGGAAAGTAAAAGGTTTTTTCTTGAATGCGCCCCGTAATTGATAGGGTCATGGAATTCGAGGATTATTTTTTGACAAAGTGAAATAACGCGTGTCCGTTCCAGCTCACGTTTACACTCATGCGAAAAATATATTACCCATATTATAAAACAGTTCTTAGTTTCACACAAAAATATTTTACAAGTAAATCTTAAAAAATAACGCGACATGATGGTAATTGGCGAACACCCCTAAAAACTTGAAGACAGTAAAAGCATTTCAGGATGATGGATATGTCTCGTTTGTCTTGAATATTTCTCCAGCAATTCCTCGACCATTATCTCGACTTGTTTTTCTGCTCACTTCTCAAATCCTTTACTTTGTATTACGGCGATCATTGAAATATTCGCTGTGGTTTTTATCCACTGACTTATTATCGCAACTGAAGCTACATTTACCTGAACTCTCCTCACAGCCAATAAAAAATAAAGTATTTCGTTGTGAAAAATACAAACGTAACATGTTCTTTCGTCGGCGTTTTCGGAACAATTGCTGGCCCGATTCTCTAATATCGATCTTTAGATGTCATTCCACGGCACGTATTTTTCCTTTAATCTTTCGAGTCACAGCTGCGTCACTATTTAGAAAATATAAAGCCCAACACACTAAAGTGAAAATATGGTAACTTATTTCACTCATATACGCCAGAGAAATTGTTCGTTGAATTTACATCCTGAGTTGTAGCAGGATTAAAATGGAAATTGCTTATGGTGGCTTAAATTTTCTATTTTTCTATTTTCCCCTTCGAGAAAATATCGTTTATATTTTGTTTTTCCATTTTTCAAATTAATTCGAAATTAAGCTTTTCAGTGAAAAACTCCTTGAAAAAATACTTCAGAACGACATACATTCTACATAAACTTTTTATATACTGTTCTAAAAAATTTAGGGAAAAAATTCATTTATTTTTTGATAATTTTTAAAATATTGTATCTCAATGAAAGATGGTAGTATGTAGATTTAAAAAAATCCATTTTAAAGTTCCAAGTTTCTAGTCTTAGGATCCTAAGAAAAAGCACGAGAAAAAAAAATGTATTTTTTTTTGGTCCATGGCCTTGAGGAAATTTTTATTAGTTAAATCAATGCATGGGCCGGATAGCTTTAATTTGCCTTTTTTATGTTTTCTTTACGTTAATTTGTCGTTGAGATATTTGATTTTTAATGATCTTTTTGGTCTTGGATCATCGGTATCTCCGCAACCAATAGCCACACAGAAAATGTAAAGATAGTTTTAAAAACTGGAATATGTTCTACAAAAAATCATTTGCTTGATTTAAAGAAAAGAGAAAAAAGTAACTTTTTTTGTTGTTGTAGTAAATCTTCCCCATATTCACAAATATTGATGGTGAGACTAATGTGTTTTTTTACAGTCTAATGTACATACGCCCAATAGCTCTAAATTTTTAAATCGATTCATCAAACTGTTTTCTCGGCCGATTGCTCAAACAATTAAAAGAATTAATTGTTTATGAACATTGTGTAATCTTCATCAAAATGGAAAAAACATGTTTTCTCGCCTTTTGTTACAATTTTGGATGTTAAATTAAAAACAAATATTGCAAAAAAATATATTTTTTTATATTTGTTGGAAATGTGTAAAAAATCAAGAACCAATTTTGACTAATTTATTTAGCATTTGCAAACCCTCAAAATAATTGCATTAATTAAAAGTTGATACCTCCAAGCTGTATTCAGCACTCTATTTACGAACATTCATGCAAATTTTCAAAAAAGTTTATATTTAACAACTTTGTTGTATTATGTTATTTATTGATTTCTTCTTTTGTACTATACAAAAAATTATATTGTTTTTAAATTTTACAAATACATATTAAAAACATTAAATTAAGCAAAAATAGAGAAGAAAAAATCGTTTTTACGCTTAATTGTTCTTAAGTCCTGAAAGTTACACCTATCAATTTTTTGTTTATGCACCCACTGAGAATATGAAAAGTCGACAAGGTGAAAAAAAATGTTATTTTTTGTCGCGTTTATTAGTATATCATTACAAGGCGTCAATAAAGATTATTACTATATCGTAAATTCCTGCAAAAGGAGCTGACTTAATCGATGGCTGCTGTTCCGTAGGGTGAAAATCTCTTTTTGGCTGTGCGGCTTCCGAATCTAGTGGATCATCTCCGATGAATCTGTCGTAGTAACGAACATAAATCACTCGAAATGCGCTCTTTTCTTCAAGTTAAAATAAATTCAGAAAGGAAAAATTTTATGACAATGACACAACCACAATTTTTTGCTAAAAAAAAACACTAGAAGTTATTTTTGTAACGTAGAGAGCAAATCAAATTATTAATCAATGTGTGAAGATGTCTAAACGAACTACATAGGTAATATTGATTTTGTGAATAATGTATGTCTAATGAATTTATAACAGACAAGATAACAATGAAGACAACAAAATGCTATTCTGGGAAGGTAACCTGATTTCAGAAAATTTCTCGGTATATTTTTTTGGCTTATATTAAAATAATATCTCTGATTGTAAACAAAATTAAATTCTGTTTATAATAGACCCTGAAGTTTAATGTCAGGCAACCAGCTATACATTTACACAATCAAGCGTAAACTTATAGAAATAAAACGACTTTGCAACGAAAGTGGGATTATTTTTACTTTTTTAAAAATTTGATAACAAATGTGAACCGATTTATAGACACAAGATTTATGCATTTTTATGTCAAGCCCTTGTCCGACGGTTTAAATTAATTCCTGTTAATAACGTCGAGACAATTTGAAATATTTGATAAAAGATAACAAAGTGAACGGTTGAGTAATTAGTGAAAGAATTCCAGAGGTAGCAAACGCATTCCTACTACCTGTCATATCTGTTTGTCTTCAAAAAGACGCTGCCGGCTACCGACAACATTCTTTCCGTTTCACGAATTCAATTCATTCGTCCCCGAACCATTTTCTTTAGTTGTATAGTTCGTTTTAAGCCACCCCATGAATTGGATTAAACATCAATTGAAACAAATGTCAGGCTTGGTCGTTTTTATACGAAAAGGTAAAGTCGTAGTAAAGGTAATCGCATTTTCTCCGGAATAAGTCCACGATAACTATAACAGATTTTTTCTTCTCTAAATTGATTTAGCGACCAGGTGCACACTTTCAAACGACATTTGATAGAAAAATAAAAACAACCCTCGCGTTTTAATGCAAGTCAAGGAAAATTAGACGGCGAAATGTGAAATAACCATTTTCAAGCTGCTTGACTTGGCATCATATCACGCATTCGGCTCGAGACGCTCGGATTGTATCGATTCGGGGAATGAATTAGAGAAATGTTTCTTCATTTTCAGTAATCGAATTTATTTGAACAATTCTGGAAAAAATCTCAAAGACAAATTCAGAAGTTTGATTAAAAATGTTTTTATAGGAAACTTCAAGCTTCAGAGGAGCAACTCTATCCACCTGTTTTTTGCTTGTTTCCGACGGCGTTTGTCTAAAGTTTACACAATAACAAAAAATGTTATAATTCAGAATTCCAAAATTACGAGTAGGTACTTGTCATTGAATATTTGGAAATACAGGGCAATTCAGATAAGATAATGAGCCTGACGATCTGACGATGCAACCCAAAAAACAAATTTCATTAACACAGCATTTCAAAATTTCATAAAGAAATGTTTAAATTTAAAAAATGTCAATCCAGACTTTTCAAAACATCGTGCTACAAAAGACAGTTCGGGGACTAAGAAAGTGTCAGATGTACTGGATTAAAAAATTTCCAGACTTGCAAAAAAACATTTAAAAATTTCTTAAAAAAATGCTTAAATTTAAAAAAAATGTCACTCGAGACGTTTCAAAACATTGTGCTACAAAAGAGAGTTGGGGAGACTAAGAAAGTGTCAGATGTACTGGATTAAAAAATTTCTAGACTTGCAAAAAAATATTTAAAAATTTCTTTAAAAAAATACTTCAATTTAGAAAATGTCAGTCCAGACTTTTCAAAACATCGTCCTACAAAAGACAGTTGGGGGGACTAAGAAAGTGTCAGATGTACTGGATTAA